GTTTCGCCCTGTGGAGCCGTTTCGTTTCTAGGCCGGGTGCGGCAGCTGTGCTCCCTGCGTTCAAGAGCAAAGTACTAGCAAAATGCTCGATAGGTCCTGGTTTTCCTCGGGGTGTGTGCAGCTGTGGCAGGTCATTCTAGTCTGTGGTAATAAAAGTGAAAGAAGAGAAATATCGCACTTTGCTTTATTCTCAGTGATTTAAGACATTGACTCACACTCGAGAGCAGATCGGTGGCTTAAAACTGCAACAGGATGCAGTTGTAACTTTGTGCAGTGCAGCTGTTGGTGAACAAATACATGGTATCTGTTCAGATTAAATGAAGTAATGTTTCAGAGTTTTGTGATTGGGTGGTTTTCTTAATACTTCTGTTTTTTTTTTCTTTGTTTCAGGGTAACCAACCAAAGAAGTTATGAATATCATCTATGGTCTGAAGTTGCCGGGCAGGAACTGTATTTTCTTACGTTTGGTTTCTTTGACCAAGCAGGGGAAGTGCAATAATCTCTGTAGGCCTTATGCAGGACATTGCAGAACTCAAGCCAATTGTACACGAGATAGACACCAAAGGCTGTATTTGAGTGGAAATACTAGAAACTGTTTTTTGACTGGAAGCCCTGACTCCTGTAGAAACTTCGTCAGTAAAGGACTGAGGTGTCTTGTGAATGTTCCGAATACAGAAGTATACAAGAATACGCGTCACAGTTTAGGAAGGTTTGGTTTCCAGTCTTCTCGGCCACTGGAGGAGAAGATCACATCCCTCCACATCAGTTCTATAGGGCAAGTCCTGCTGCATTTTTCTGCTTGGAATGTTCAGATCATCAGGTCTTTTCGCACATCACCATCATTTCAGGCTGCACCAGTTCCTCTATTCTGGATTATTGTTAAGCCAGCTCAGAAATTATTTGCTATCATACTTGGCAGGTAAAATATTATCTTATTTCCTCTCTTAGTGTAAGACCACATTATGCAAAGATGTGTGCATGAGTTTGTGGAGAATGGTAGGTGTATTTGTAGTATGTGTGTATTTGTAGTATATGTGCAGAATTTTGTAGAAATGGGGCCTAGGCTGACAGCTTGCTCAATGAGAAGTTGTTTCCATTCTCAGAGGTGTTAGATGTATCTTTTGCTCTTCTCATTCTCATTTGCATGTGGTAGAGGGAGATGAACCAAGATACGAAGGGGCATCCCTTCTTCTGTGGGAGGGAAGAAATGGAGTGGAGTAGAAGTGAATTACAGTATAACCTTCCATAAGCTCTGACATGAGGTGAGACTGTAATAGAGCATACAACAATGACAGGCACTGACAAATTCCTTTTTAACTGTGTCCAAAGTTAACACTGTTTGTATCTTGCAGGAGCATAAGAAATTGGTGGAAGGCACTTCCTCCTAATAAACGGGAACTTTTTAAAGAAAGAGCAAGAAAAAATAAATGGAAGATACTCCTGGGTGTCAGTAGCTTAGGAGTTTTATTTGTCATGTTTTATTTTACTCACTTGGAGGAGACACCCATCACTGGGCGTGCTCGACTGTTGGTATTTGGAAAAGAGCACTTCAGGGAACTGTCACAGTTGGAATACGATATGGTAAGATTTTCAAGAAAAATTCAAAATACTCTAAAGCTGTTAATGCTTTTTTTTAGTGATGAGATAGTCCAGTTAATGAGATGGGCAAACAAACCTTGTGGCGTTCTTCATGAGTTTTGAACTTCATGCTCAGAACCCTGCAGAGCAGCTCCATCAGTTACTCCCTCCTCTTACCCCTATCCCTTTTTAAGGGTTCCTTTCCAACAGCAGATTGCTCAGGGCACGTGATACTTAAAGAGCACGCTACATGCATGTAGCAAATATTTTTAGCTGTGTTATTGTAGTGTAACAACAAATATCTGGTAGAAGCAATCAAAGCATAGCTAATAGGTGTACGCTGAGATCAATCTCGTTTTCTGTGCTGATTTGAGCATTCTTGGGCACTTGTTTGAGGTCCTCTCTTCTACATCTTTTTTCGTTGGATCAGGTAATTTTTCTTTGAATTTCTTTCTTTTAAACTGTCCATCACACTAATTTCTGTAACTTTGAGTTCTGTGACTTTCTTTTCTGAAGTCAGTGAAACTTGATAATCCATATACAAATGTCACTATATTCCTGTTTGACAGAGAATGTGAGATAAGAACAGAACAGAAGTAGTACAAGGATAATTCAAATTACATCTCTTGTGTAAATTTGCCCACCTTGTAAGATACAACAGAAATACACAGAGATAGAAAAATTGTAAATTCAGATGGAAATTCAGGACAGTGTAGAACGGGTTGTCAAATTGTGATGCCAAGCTTAACTCTGTGTTAGGAAAACACCAGATACGGGAGGCTGTAGGACGAAGTTTATACTGTCTTATTTTTGATTTGTGGTCAGTTTACTTCCTTTTAAGTTTATTAATCATTAACTTGGCTGTCTGAAAGCCTGAACTCTAATAATGTTTGGTTTGCCTATATAAAAGAAAAACATGGTAACTTTGATTTAACGAAGTTGTGCATAGCCACTAGATTAGTTTACCAATTAGTCCTTTAGTGTGTGTTTGTTCTGCATGGCAATCAATTAATTTAATTTTTTTTTTAGTGGATGGAGGAATTCAAAAGTAAAATGTTACCTGAGACAGACGCACTCTATCAGGTTGTGGAGAGAGTTGTTGGCCATTTGTCTGAAAGCAATAAGGACATCCCACAGGTCGCGGCGCTCAAGTGGGTTATCCACGTGGTAGATGAACCAGGGGTAAATGCTTTTGTGCTTCCAGTAAGTTGAACCCAATACAAAAATTATTATTAGTGAAACAGCTTTTTATTTATGTGTCTTCTACTTAACTTTCACTCTCTCTTTGTTTACAGAATGGGCAAGTGTTTGTTTTCACTGGATTGCTAAATGCAGTTTCTGATATTCATCAGCTGTCTTTCATTTTGGGACATGAAATAGCTCATGTTGTGCTGGAACATGCAGTAAGTATTTAAAGAAAGCTGTCTAAAATTCTTAAATTAACTCTAATTGCTTTAGTTAAGATTTTTTCATATCACTACCAACCAAAGTTTTCAATGTGACTCTTTATAATTAATGAAAAGTTGAGTTTGAAATGAGAGTGTTCTGCTACACTATATCCTTATTACTCATGTAGTACTTAATAACTGTCAGAAGTCCCGTAGTAGTCAGTGTTAGCACAAAGTCTGCCAGTGTTTTTTTTCATAGTGGTAGAGATGGATTATGGCTCGCTATTAACAGTCAATTAGCACTTTGTCTGCAGGTGCCTCTCCTCCTATAGTACAGACATAAGGAACTAGAGGCACTCAGCCGCTCAGTTTGTTACTCCTTCACTTGTTAATATCTACAGAAGTGAATATACTTTAATAAATTATTCTAAAATTAGCGATATTTTTATTATAGTAGCACACAGTTTTAGAATGCCAAATTCTAGAATGCCTGGAGCTTGATTCTGCGTTTACAGATGGTTGCTTTCACAGACTTAATTTTTCCATATCCTGACATGGATGTGATGAAATTTGTAGTTCTTTGTCATTTGAACAGAATGAATGTAATAATTTTGTTGTGCTTTGTAGGTACAACTATGAAAAAAGAGGATGGTGTAGAAATATCGCTCGTATTGTTCTAAATTGTGGTGATTTACTAGAAAATGCTTCTTTGTGTCCAGATTGTTTTCTTTCTATGGATGTCATTTTAAAAAATTGTATTCATTACCTGTCCATCAGTTTGAGAAGATGTAATGAGAAGCCTGTAAACATAAAGATGCTGCTGAAATTGCAAAACTAATCTGGAAATGGGTAAATACGTTTTAAAGGCAATGAAAATAGAGGAGAATTGCTTTACTGCATCTTGTATGATTTTGGATAGGCGGCAGTTCACATCCTAGTTTCTTGGGATCAGTTGAGCCAACTAACTTGTTAGAACTTCTCTTGTTTGTATGGAACCTGTGCCGCCCAACTGGCATAGATGAAAGTATTGCGTGATCCGGCTTGTAAGTGCTCAGGTCAATTTATTGCATGTCAACTAGAGCTTTGAAAAACAGGAAAAATCCAGTTTCTTTCTTCAGGACGTTTTTGTTTCTGAAATTAAAGGAATGCAACAGAAAATAAAAAATAAATATATTATGCCTAGTGTCCCCTTAGCACATTAGCATTCCTGTCTAAATTATGTCTATCTCTTCTCAAATTAATGTGAAGAACCGTCTTCTTGGTCTTATTATAGATTTTTCGTTCCAAGTGAGGTGTTTCGTGGCCTTTTTACTAAAGAACTCTGTCTGCATGCAGCCCCATCATCTTATCTCAAGCTTTGAATCTCTTGAATTGGGAGATAGCCAAAATGTGTTTGCTCCAGCTGTATTTATGCAGTTGGTGTGGGTTCTAGACTGAAAGTACCTGGTATCCCACTGGATTTTTTTTGTGTGAGCAGGCGAGCTTGTGATTGCCCTGTTCCTGTGGCTGCACAGAAAAAAAATCAGTGATTTTTAAAATGTTTCCATATTCTATTAAATTCTAAAGAAACATCTGACAGTAAGGAATAAAAACGGGACAATTTCTGTTTGCAGGCAGAGAAAGCCAGCCTGGTTCACTTCTTGGATTTTCTATCGCTCATCTTTCTCACTATGATTTGGGCCATCTGTCCTCGTGATAGTTTGGCAGTTGTTGGCCAGTGGATTCAGAGCAAGTTGCAGGAGGTAAGACTGACATTTCATATTATCCTTCCTGAGTTCTATGAGAAATATTTTTAATCATGGGGAGATAGTACCACTAAGTAGTATGTCTGGGGAAAAAGGCAAGAGGAGAAGTATTATAAGCAAAAAATTTAATATTTGAGTATGTCTTTGAAGGAAATATGTTTTTATAGATCTTAATCAGCTTTAGTTAATACATATTTTCATTTGTTGTCTTGAAGAACTTTAGATCTCCTTAAATGACTGGATTTAGCGGAACAGACTGCAAGTACCTGCTTGCGATTTAAGTTAGAAGATTGTCTTTTTGAAATGTAGCTCAACATTTAAAGTTGTAAATATTGAAATGCCATGCTTTTATTTTGAGTAATTGCTAAATTGTTTCTAAACCAAATAAAATAGATGGAAATCTTTGAATACATTGTCAGTGGTAAGCATGGTTTCCAAGATAAGAAAATTTAGAGTCTAAACCCTCTATTAAAGTATAAACCATGCTATAATAAAATTTACTAAATGAGTCTTGTCAGACAGCATATATTCCACTAAAGTAAAATTCAAAGGCTTTGTGGTGCCAGTTTTCTTCAGCAGTCTAATTTACTCTCTGCCTCCAGACAGTTACTGATCCATTTCTTTTTAAAAAAGTAGGGTTTTTTTAAAATAAACTTTGCTTACATAATAAAAATTGAATCTGAATTTAAGCAAAAGAGCTCTTTGGTTTCTTTGACTTCTCTTGCTGCTTCTCCTGAGGTTTTCCCCAGTTCCTCAAAAACATAAAAGTAAACATAACCAATCTGTTTTGTTAGTTCTTATGCTAATGTGTAGTTGTGTGGATTCTGAACATAAATTATCTCTAAAGAGCTTGGATATTTGTACAAGTAGTAAGAAACCTATACATTGATGAATGCTAGCCAGCATTTTGAAGAGCTGAAGTTGGAAAAAGCAAAGTGTGAATCAGTCCTGAGACTGCTCATAATTTAGACAGCAAGGTTTAACTCCCTGTCAGCATCTTTGCTCCTCTTCTAGGCTAACAGCAACTGATATTTTGGCATCGGGGATTGGAGTTGTGCTTTAGATTGCAGATGAAACCTGGCTTTAAGCTCCTAGTCCTGGTGTCCTATAGAAAAGATCTATCATATATGAGATATTATACAGTAATATCCTGGTTTAAAACTCTGATCAAACTTATCTTCAGTAACATTAAACATATCCATATGAAATGCAGAGTAAAGAAGTGCTTAATACTGGCAAAGCTTTCATCCCATATACAAAAGATGCTGAACGGAAATTTTTGTTTCTGCTAGTCACCCAGGAGTGCAATGTCTGCTTGTTTCCTCTATTCAACATTTGCCTGTTGTGCTTACGTGAAAATAAATCTTTCAGCGCATTTTCTCAGGATGTCTCTTTTCTTCTTTCATAACTGTATTTTATTGTCTAAAGTTTTAGCATCCCACTCTGTGAAAGAGTTATTTAAGCCATATTCCAGTACTTGCTTCTGTTTCAGTATTTGTTTTTCTTTTATGTCCTCAGAGGCTTAACTTTTTTACCTACTGACTATTGTTTATTTTTTATTATTGACTATGAGTACTTTTGGGTGGCCCTTTGTAGGCCTTTTGGCATGTTAGCTCCAGTTCTGCTTTTTTCTGCAAAGCTAGTGGGTTTGCTTGCCTTAAGAAATTGTTCTCTTATGGGATTCATTCATGGTTGTTCTTTAGTCTTGTATTTCTGAACTGAAACATGTTGGCTTTGCTTTTGCAGCAGCAGTTATTTTATATGGGAATGGAAGCCTAGCAATTATTATTCGAATAGCACAAAGCATGACTGAGTGTTCCTCATGTCCTGCACACCAGTATGTACAAATGCAGTACTTAATACTGTCTTCATCAGATTTGTATTTCATGTGGAAACTGGTGATTTTGGATGGTCAACTCAGCTGGAACTTCCTTTTCTTTAACATACGCAGACAGCTCTGGTAATTGATTTGAAAAATCAAATCTGACTTCGTTATTATGTCCGATTTCTGACAATTTCTTTAGATCAGAGTTTGAAGATCTAACTTTTCACTCCAACACATCCACAAAAGATTTGTTTAAAAAATTAATTTTTCAGTAACAGATGAGTAATACTGTATATTAGATGCCTCAAGACACTTTTATGTGACCACTGTTGAGACTTTATTGGCTAGAAGCACACTATGAAAGAGAGCCCAAGTTGTCTCAAGAGACTGAGATTATCTAATAGTTGTAATTTTAGATCTGAAGAAGAAACACATAGAATTCTCAAAAATTGCAGAGGACGCATTGAAGTCTCTTATACGTTAATTAAATTTTGGTAATGATCAGAACAGAACAAATCTGGAACCCTACTTGGTCATAAGCTGTATCCAGCATAAGAATTGCTATATGGAAGGACATCAGAGTCTGTTTAGACTCGTATCTTGTCTGTGACTGGTCAGTAGCAGCTACATAGAGGAAAACTAAAGGAAATAACAGCGCTTGTAGGGTGCTGGTTTCTTCAGTTGCTGTCCCTGCTTCTGCAGTCTGCAGCATGGGTAGGTCCTGAACTAGAGATTGCGTTAGTATTGTGCTTATTTTTAAAAATACAGCCATAGTTTTGCTGGCAGTATTGGGATAGACACACAGGTAAATAGTAATCCCGTAGTGCTTAACTGTAAATGCAAATAAAACTGTTGAAGGGGTAAGAGTTTTAATGCTGATCTTTTTATTACTGTCTAGTTACTGTCCCAGATCTCTCTTTCTAGATGGTCTAGTAAGACACTTGCATTCAGGCCATGAATTTCCTAGTTCTTAAACTTTTACAGATCTTTTCTGAGATGGATGCCACCTCTTGTTTAAAATTGTTGTAAACCTCCCAGAGAAGAAAACCACAAATGGTTGCACCTGAGGAAATAGAAAACTGCCTGCTTGTGTAAGCCTCTGTTCCAGCCAGCGCTTTGGGTTGTCCTGTTGCCTGTTAGCAGTTTCGTTTCCTTGTCTGAGAAATGTTTAATACTTGAACATATAGTTTATCTGGCTAACTGGGAGATGGTGCTTCAGGAATGTATGACAGACTAGCCAGGGACATCTTTGCCATTCAGTGAATATGTGCACTCCAGTAGACCCAGAGCACTTTCCAAGGCAAAAGAAATATATATTCCACTTCAAGTAACACCTTTGACATCAGAGGATTTAAAAAATATAATTGCAATGTGTAAGGTCTGTAAAGAAGTTAAGAATTTAGAAAGTGACCTCATCTATGGTTACTTATAAATCAGCGTTATTTGGCTTTAAAAAACAAGTAGAGGCCTGGCTTTGTTTGGCTTCTGTTTCTGACCTGGTTAAGAGAGACTAACAGTACTACTTTAAAAAGACACACAAAGTTACAGGTACCTTTATGTACTCAAGGGATTGGACCACTTATTTGCTCTTCTTCTTTTCTGTTTTGTCTTTTTCTTTCTTTTTTTTTTTTTTCTGGAGCTTATAAGGAGGGCATATTTTTATAACCAGATAAAGAGTTGGTAAAGCCTGTTTCTCTTCGCTAACATTGCACGTCCCCATTCTTGAGTTGGTATTTCCTAATTGATGCCCAGACCAGGATGTTGTGGCATGTTCCTTATCTCTGAAGGAGCAGGTGGTTTTAAGAAGTCCTGATTTGCATTTACCACAACTGGATATACTAGGGCAAGTCTGCCCAAATCCACGTGAATTACATATGCCAGAAGATCCCGAGTTATGTGACTAAATAACCACTTGAGAAAACTACTGCTGTCTCTTAATGTGCATTAATACAATGTCATACCCTAGAAAAAAGAGAGAGGAGTTGGTTAGGTTTAGGTCTTCCAGTTTGATTTCTCAAGGGCAGTTTGCAACTTGTTTTGAGGGATAATCATGACAAAGGAGTGATTTCTGTATGGAAACATTTATGGCTGCATTCCATACTGTGGGCTGTTTACCATACCAAGTAGACCATACCAGTTTTAAAGAAAGGCATCATAAAAGTTTAAGGGAGCCACTGGAATTTTTTACATACAGTTGCTACAACAAAAATCTTAATGCAAATAAAAGAATGAAGTGAATAAATTCTAGTTTTCATTGACCCTTTGATTGCTGCAAAATGCTGTGAGAGTGGCTGATGAGAGGGGCTATGGAAATATGTGGAATTTGGTTTAATTTCCATTGAATGCAGGATCAATGAACTTCATATAATGGAATTAAAGATTACATGAAGAAAACTAATATTGATCAAATGCAATGTGAACATGATAGATAAACACCATTTCTTATGAGAAGGTTAGAAAAACAGCTACAATGCTTTAGCTTAGTACACATTCAAAACGAAGAAAGAGAGCTTTGTTGTGCTTCTTTGCAGTTTATGTTTGATAGACCGTACAACAGAACACTGGAGGCTGAAGCTGATAAAGTGGGACTTCAGCTGGCAGCAAAGGTAACTACAGCTTGTTTGTTTTATTAGCAATTTAGCAGACAGTTTTCGGTTTCCATTATAATTAGCGGGAGTTTCATACTTCCCACAGAAGTAAACTTTGGGGGGATGCAGGTTGATGAGGTTGTGGGAAATCAAACAGTTTGTA